TAGTAAGTGTGTCACTTTGTCGCGGTCGGCCATCTTGTGGCACTATGCCGCGGTCGCCATCTTGGGGGGCTCTAACTTAACCTAACCTAATTTTGAGGTGTCTTGGGGGTTCCTAACCCCGTACCTAATTTTAGGGGGTATCTTGGAGAGGCCTAACCCCGTACCTATTTTTTTTAACGGTGTCTTGGAGGGCTCTAACATAACCTAACGGTTAGGTTAGGTCCTAACCTATTTTTAACGGTGTCTTGGAGGGGCTTAACTCGTACCTAGATTTAGGGGTGCTAACCCACCCCTAAAAATATCGAGGATCGACGAAGGGGTGCAAACCCACCCCTAAAAAATCGAGGATTGAACGAGGGTTGCTAACCCACCCCTAAAAAATATCGAGGATCGATGGAAGGGCGTAATTCAAGGGTGGCAACATAACCTAAGCGTGACACGTCACGACACGTCACGGCGCGTATGGGTGATACAAAACCGTGATGCGACACACACATAAGCAAGATGTCAGGATGGCCGAGTGGTTAAGGCGCCTGCCTCAAGTGCAGGTCCCACTTGTGGGGGACGAGGGTTCGAATCCCTCTCCTGGCATTTTTGAATTCCGCGCGCGTGAGTATGAGAACGTTTGTGGAGAGCCGCGAGCGAAGCGGCAATCGGCATGGCAACGCTGTAGCGCGCCAGACGACGCGTCCTTTTCCGCCGCGAGACTCTACCCCCACCACGGCGCGCTCGCCCCTCCACCGCTCCCCGCGCTCGGCGGCAGCGCGTCGCGCCCGCGCAGCGCTCAGTCGTTTGTGAGTCCTTGCCTAAAGCAGTTCGTGTCGGTGCGATGGAAGTCATTGATATAAGTGGTGATGTAGAGGTGATAGTGATAGGCAGCAGTGACGTTGAAATTGACGTCATCAATTTAAGTGGTGATACCATAATGCTCAACGACTCGAACTAGGTAGATGTACGCCAGACCACGTCTCGCGTAACAGGCTTCGCGATATCTCACGAAACACTGTTACCCTACGACGCGCCTGGCATACATCTACCTAGGCCTGCGGCGCTGACACCCGAGTCGGGCAAAAGGCAGAGTCGTAGACAGGCCTTCGGCTCCAAAGGACACAACTTTTACCCCCAGGATTTTATTTTGAAAAGTTGCCCCACCAGAGACCATCAAATATCTGAGAAACAACATTAAAATGGTTTGGGGTCATTTTTGTGTGGAAATCGCCCTCTGGCGACCTAACGGTTAGAGATAGAGCCAAACGGACAAAATTTTGGCCCTGAGGCAAAAGGCAGAGTCGTAGACAGGCCTTCGGCTCCAAAGGACACAACTTTTACCCCCAGGATTTTGTTTTGAAAAGTTGCCCCACCAGAGACCATCAAATATCTGAGAAACAACATTAAAATGGTTTGGGGTCATTTTTGTGAGGAAATCGCCCTCTGGCGACCTAACGGTTAGAGATAGAGCCAAACGGACAAAATTTTG